GGGCCAGTTCCAGTCCCCCAAGCTCGAGCCTCACGTCTTCCCGACGATGCTGCCGCATACCCCACACTGCAATCGGCAGGACGCGCACCCAAAGCTTACTCTTGCAGAGGGCCGCTCGTGCGTGCAGCGGAACGGCTGCTGCTGGCAGCCCCGAGCGAAGAGCCGGGGGGCGTGGCGCGCCTGCTGCTCGGCGTGCACGGACGCGGGGGCTTCTTCCCCGGCAGGGTCACGGGCCTGTGCGCCGCCATGGAGGGGGGGCAGGGGCCCGAGGAGCGACTGCGCGTAACCCAAACCTCCGACGGCGTGGATGCTTTGGCAGTCCTGGCGCTTTTTGTTCATGGGTTTCGGCCTCTGGGGCCCGTCAACGGGCCACAGGGCCATCACACATGGATTTCAGACGAAACGCCACCCCTGGGAAAGGGGTCGGGATGTCCTGGGGCCTCGCAGCTAAAGACTCCCGTCGGCGGAAATCTCTGGAAGAGCGACCCTTCGCCAGAGTGGCCTCGAGGTGCGGGCCCACAGGGGGTCCCTCCAGCACCGGCCGGCGCGCCTGGATCTGTCCCCCCGCGGCCTCCGGAAGCCGCGCGCCAGAGGCCACTCCTGCCCAGGGGCACTTCCTGCGTGTGTCGCCCAGAGATACGCAAGTCGGGCCTGTCCCCCTGCAGGGGGATGTTCGGCGAAAAATGACAAGTACCCCAAAAATATCAAGAAATAGTCCAAACATAGTCTGGGGACCATTTTTTCAGTACTTTGTTGACCTTTTTGGGGTATTTTTGGGGGTATTTTTTATTAGTCGTCGAAAATCCCCCTGTAGGGGGACAGGCCCGACTTCAGCCCAGAGGAGGCCCTCCTCGGGGCCGCGGCCAGGCACGGGCTCGCGCTGGACTGGGGGCGCCTGGAGCGCCGGGCCGTGCTGGAGTTCCTGGAGGCGGACCGCCCCGGGGAGGTCGCCGAGGACTGGGTGGTCTACGCGGAGGTGCCGCTGGCGTGAGAGAGGGCGCTGGCGAGAACCATGACGACGACGACGACGACGACGACGACGACGACGACGACGACGACGACGACGACGACGACGACGACGACGACGACGAGCAGGAGGAGGAGGAGGAGGAGGAGGAGGAGGAGGAGGAGGAGGAGGAGGAGGGGGAGGAGGGGGGAGGGGGAGGGGAGGAGGAGGGGAGGAGGAGGAGGAGGAGGAGGAGGAGGAGGAGGAGGAGGAGGAGGAGGAGGAGGAGGAGGAGGAGGACTGGGTGGTCTACGCGGAGGTGCCGCCCGGGCCCGCGCCGACCCTGCGAGGCACCGCGGACTGGGAGCCCTTCCTGGGGGATCGAAAAGTGACATGAAGATAAGAACTCGGAGGTCCGCTCGGATTTCTCGGATCGGCGCTGGGGCCCCCCTGCGGCGCCTCCGGCGCCGAACTTGGCGCGCTCCGCGCGCCAGGGAGGGGGGACCAGCGCGGATCCGAGAAATCCGCTCGGACCTCCGTTTTTTTTTGTTTATGCCACTTTTTGCTCCCCTATTTCTGGGCGCCGCGGGACGCGATCCCGTACCACCGCATGCCCGTGGACGACGCCGTCTGGTACCCGCCCTTCCTCGAGGGCAGGCGCCTCGGCGGCCGCTTCGCCTTCGACGGCCTCCGGCTCGTCTCCTGCGCCCTCTGGGAGCTCCGCGCCGAGGAGCTCGACGGGATGCTGTCGGGGAGCGGCGCGGGCGCCGGGGCCGAGGCCGGCTGAGCGCCTCGGAGCGGGTGGCGGGCGCCGGCCTCGCCGGCGGAGGGCTGCCAGAGCCGGCCCGGCGTCGCCTGCGTGGGTGACTGGGCAGTCGGAGGCCCGCCGGTCGCCGAGCCGCGCCCGCCGCGAGGGGCACTCGCCAGGTGCTGCTCCGAGCAAGGGGCCTCGTCGTCTCACCATGTCAGGGTGAGGGCATCGGCTTGGTACCGCCCCCCCCTCTCTGACTCTCCCGCCTCCGTCCCTCCTCCCCCCCTCCCCTGCCCTCTCCCCATGCTCCCTCCGTCCCTCCCGCCCTCCCCCCCTCCGCTCCGCGCAGTCCCTCTCCTTCTCCCGCTCATCCGTTCTGCTGCCCCTCTCCCCCGACGTCGCCTTTCTTGCAGGACGTGGGCCGCCAGGGACCTGGACCCTTTTCCCCGGGCCGGCTTTGCATCCTGACTCGTTTCTGAACGGCCCCTCGGGCCAGAAAGCGGACTGCAGAGGCCGAAACCGAAGATGCATTGGCCGTCGCGAGGTTTTTGTTTGCGTCGCCCGGCCCTGAGAGCCCCCCCCCCTTCTCCCACAACCCCCCGCCATCCCGGCCCAAGTTCGGGTATAGCCAGAACCCCAGGTAAGGGGACCCAGTTGGTGGTAGGTCCCCGGAGCCCTTGAATTGGCCAGAAATTTTCTATAAACCAGGTCTGCCGTAGCTGGTGTTTGTCGGGTGACGGCAGCTCCGGTTAGTGGAACGGGGCGGGGGGGCGTCCCCCAGCACACGTCACCAAACCAGGTTCCACTGAACCCAGTCCTGCCAACGCCCGACAGTTATGGGGGCACCCCTTCCTGTTGCCAGCGCTGCTGCGCCACCCCAAACAGGAGGCACGAGGCGTGCGAGGTGTGCGCCGAGAGCCTCGGGGCGCTCCCACGTGGGGCCCAGGAAGGGCCTCCTTCTGGGGCAAGAGCGTGAGAGAGGGCGCTGGCGAGAACCATGACGACGACGAGGACGAGGAGAAGGAGGAGGAGGAGGAGGAGGAGGGGGAGGAGGAGGAGGAGGAGGAGGAGGAGGAGGAGGAGGAGGAGGAGGAGGAGGAGGGGGAGGAGGAGGAGGAGAGGGAGGAGCAGGACCACGCAGCGGGGAGAAGCAGCCACGATGCGAGGAGCGGGGAGGTTGGAGGGAGGGAGGCGCGCAGAGGGGGGAGCTTCCGCCCAGCTTCCTACTCGTCCGCCTGCCGCAGGGGGCCCGCCCTCTGGCCACCGCCGTGCCCTGGGCGCAGCCCGCGGCATGCCAGGACTCGGCGTGCGGCAGGATCTTCGGCGACCTGCTGAACCGGCCCCTGGGCGGCTTCGTGTTCATGGCGTTCTGGCTGGGGAGCCCCGTGCCCCCTTCCGATCCTCGGGGGCGGCAGAGAGGGGGGGGGGATGACTAGGGGGTTCCGGATTTCATGGCGCCCCTTCTTATCCCATTGCGTCCCTGGCCCCCCCTGGGCCGCGCACATGCCGCGGGTCATGATTTGCACCCCCCCCCTCTTGGACGCCCCCCTCTTGGCCTCCCCCCTCCGATCGAGGCCCGAGGTTCGCGGATCGAGGTTTTGGCAGGTCTTTTGCCGAAGAAGACAGACAGCATAAAGCATAAGCCCTCGGAGGTCCGCGCGGATTTCTTGCCTTGCATGCGGCTGTTGATGATGGTGATGGTGGTGGCGATGATGATGGTCATGACGCTGTTGATGATGGTGATGCTGATGTTGCTGCTGATGATGCTGATGATGCGGCTGATGATGCTGATGCTGATGTTGATGCTGATGATGCTGCTGCTGATGATGCTGATGATGATGATGATGATGATCATGATCATGATCATGATGATGATGATGCTGATGATGCTGCTGCTGATGATGATGATGATGATGATGATGATGATGATGATGATGATCTAAAGAGGCAGTGGGCAAGGCCAGTCACGCGTAAATGACGAGGATAGCGAGGATGAGTAGACGCCCGAGTAGCAGCACAAGCAGGAAGAATGGGAATGAAGATGTGTGTACGTGTGTAGGTGTATATACATCTGTATGTGTGTGAAGACAGAGAGAGAAGCCTATACATATAGAGAGAGAGGGAGAGAGGGAGAGGGCGAGCGGTAATTAGCGAGGGCTTGAACACGTGCCCCATATACAGGATTCTGGAGCTCACGATCTGCATCTACGTCGCGTTTTCCCCAGAGTACCAGGAGCCTTCTTTCCGCCATCCTCCGCACGGGGGAGTCGGCTGCTTCTTCTGTGGATGTTGCTTCTGCAGCCGGGTTGCCTCGAAAGGCTTGCCTGGCTCTGTTTGTTTTTATCACTGCATTCCCCAAGTCAGGCAGATGCTGGTGATTTCCAGGGCGAAGCCCATTCCAAAGCAGGCCGCGCCAGATTTCAAGTCAGGCCACGTCAGGTCCCAAGTCGGGCAGATGGTAGGGACGCTTCAGACGAAACACCCACGCCAGAGCAGCCCAGGCGGGCCGCAAGCCAGGCAGACTGAGAACGCTCGGGGCGGAACCCGCTCCAAACTAGGCCAGGCGGCCAGGCGGGGCCCTCGAGCGAACAGGCGGACTCTCAAGGCGGGTACGTTCCGAGCCAGGCAAAGCCAGGCCACAAGCCAGGCAGTCAGTGAGAACGCTCTGGGCGAAACCAGTCCCTCGAGCCAGGCCAGACCAGCTCCCCAGGCGGATGTTGCGGACATCCTGGACGGGAGGCACCGCCAGAGAGCCCGAACTGGGCCAAGCCAGGCACGGCCAGGGCCCAAGCCAGGCAGGTTTTGAGGATGTCGTGAGCGGAACGCGCACCCGGGTGCCCAGTCCGCTTTCCTGAGCTTCGCTTCCTTCTGAGTCGGGGAGCGACCTGCGGTGCAGCCTCCCCAGGCATGCGCCCTGCTGTAGAATCGTGTTGGGGGGTTCCCTGGCCCATCCTTCCATCAGTGTGGAGCGGGCTGCTTTCGCAGCGTGTTTTCGTTTTCTTCTGGCGTAGGTCATGACGCTCGTGCGGTGTTCCGAGAACGATTGCCAACATTGAAGTGCTTTGTATCGGGCATGGAGTGGGTGGGGCGGTGCCAGCAACCACAGTTAGTGGACTTCGCAAATCTTTTTGGATCAGAGCCTCGCAGACGGACCACACGGACTCTTGCATCAGCGATGAGCGGTGGATGATTTGCAGCAGAGCGCACACGTATGCGCATCTTTTGGGTGAAACGGGATGGCGTGGGAGGTGCACCGCAGCATCACACCGACGTCGGCACGAACCGATCACGCCTCTGTCTCGC